GCTCTTCGGGATCATCTTGACGCACGTCTTGGCTTTGATTTGGTTGAATTTGGATTTAAAACGAGTATGCTATGAATGATTTTGTGAAGAAATGTTACACAGTGTATATTTTGCTAAATTCTCTGTGTTTGAGAAATTGATGATTTTGTGATCAAATAATGTTCTTATTAAGTAAAGAAGCATGATCCTTTGAGGATATGATTTATTATGAAATCATGATTAAAATGTATTATTTGATCCATGAGAATAGAAGCATACTTGTTGAGTGAAATGTATAGAAATTGCTATTTTGCAAACCGAGCATGTTGATATATCCTTGAATAATTCATGTTAATGTATACATGATTTAGAAACATGTTATAGAGCATTTGATATTTCACACGAGTCATATTTCAAAAATGCATAAAGGGCCAACGTAGTCCAAGAATACTTTCAAAAACTATAAGCATGTGGTATATCATTCTTTGATGCATTGAGAAGTAGTAGAATTGTTGCATGCATGAGATTGATGCATGAGAGATATATTTATGTATTATCTATATCGGTGAGGTTTTGAAGGATACCGTTTGGACTATGTTCCTCTCAGGAGATATTTATGGACATTGCGGTCCCAGAGTATGTAACGCGGCGTATTCCCATGTTACGAGGTTGGAAACTTCCCGCCGGGCTTGGAATCCTGGTTAGGGGGTGTGCACACTAATAGTTCGATACCTGATTCCACAGAGTTTGAACCACGAGATTGGTTCCGTTGACGGTAGGAGATATTGGGTCGGAATTATGCCGTTCCCGATGGGGTAAGTCACACTTCTGTGAAACCATAAGCCGTCTACGAGTATAAGAGAAAGAAAGAGAGTCAACAGAGACTCAAGAAAGAGAGTCAACAGAGACTCAAGAGAGAGAGAGAGTCAACAAAGACTCGATTATGAGAGTCAATGTAGACTCGATAGAAAGAAAGAGACTCAAGAGAGACTCGAGAAAGTAACAAAGAAACCTCCACCGAAAGTACCCTATTTTATGTATGAGTGTATGATTATATTATTGCACTAGATTGCATAAGAGTATGATTATATTGTTGCACGAGATTGCATAAGAGTATGAGTGTATTGTTGCACTAGAATGCATAAGAGTATGGTTATATTATCGCACTAGATTGCATATGAACATGAGTATATTGTTGCACGAGATTGCATAAGAGTATGAGTGTATTGTTGCACTAGAATGCATAAGAGTATGGTTATATTATCGCACTAGATTGCATATGAACATGAGTATATTGTTACACGAGATTGCATAAAAGTATGAGTGTATTGTTGCACTAGATTGCATAAGAGTATGGTTATATTATCGCACTAGATTGCATATAAACATGAGTATATTGTTGCACGAGATTGCATATGAAAATGAGTATATTGTTGCACTAGATTGCATAAGAGTATGAGTGTATTATTACACTAGATTGCATATGAATATGAGTATATTGTTGCACTAGATTGCATAAGAGTATGAGTGTATTATTACACTAGATTGCATAAGAGTATGAGTGTATTATTACACTAGATTGCATAAGAGTATGATGATATTACTGCACGAGATTGCATATGAACATGAGTATAATGTTACGCTAGATTGCATAAGAGTATGATTATATTGTGGCACTAGTTTGCACGAGAAGCATGATCATAATGTTATACCTGATTGTTTGCGAATAGAACATCGTAAAAGATTGTTTAATAAGAAGTTTAACTTGAGAGGTTCCTTGAGCATGATTATTGTGATGTAGTAGAAGTTCTACTTAATAAGCTATGTGATAAGAGTGTAGCATGTGAACACTTGTTATATGATCTTTAAACATGATCCTATCTGTAAGCATGAATTGCTTGATAAGCTATTTGAGAAGTCTATATGTATATGAATATACGTGATTAGTCCTATTCATATATAAGCATGCCAACTGATATTATAGGGTGCAAGCATTTAGAAAGAATATGATAAACTAAAGACGTTTTGAGATTAGCTTATTGCTATAAAGATATCAAATGTTTTCAAAGTGTATGCTAGAATGTTTTACAGGGTTGAGTGTGGTTATACTTAGCTTCGTGCTAACGGGTGTTTTCCTGTTTGTCTATGTGTTGCTTGCAAAACCCCTTTCAGGTGGGCCGAGCAGTGAGAAGAGATCGAGTTAGATTAGTCTCTTAGTCTAAGCTGTCTAAACTCTAGTTCTATTTATGATGTCTTTATGGATTTAGACTTATGACGTTATACTTTATGATGATGTTTGTAGACTGTTTTGGGGTGACGTATTTCTCCCTTACTTTTCAGTATTTACTTTAGTACCCAGACTTAATCGTATGTTATAGTTTTACCCTTTAGCCTGTGCAATCTCCAAGAGTGGTGGTTGTGGCGGTGACACCCTCACTACTTTTATCTAGTTTTCCGCTGCTTAGATTATGTTAATGACTGTTTAGAGAGATAATTAAGAGTTAGAAAAGTGGGGTGTTACAGGAAGGCCATCCCGAGGTCGGCCCGCGGGAAAGCGGCCGCGCTCATGGGCAACCGGGAAGGCCTGCTTATACGTACCACACGCCCTAGGGGCGGTACCAGGTCCGACCTTGCCTATCGCCGAACGGGCGTAATGCAATCTTCGCACCCTAGGGGCGGTACGAGGTCCGACCTCGCCTATCGCCGAACGGAAGGATTCGGGGTGCGAGTCAAAGGACTCCAACCCCAGAATCGCTAAGACGTTCTAGGGGCAGTACGAGGTCCGACCTCGCCTATCGCCGAACGAGCGTAACGCAATCTAAATTCCCTAGGGGTGGTACGAGGTCCGACCTCACCTATCGCCAAACGGAAGGATTCGGGATGCGAGTCAAAAGGCTCCAACCCAAGAATCGCTAAGACGTTATAGGGGTGGTACAAGGTCCGACCTCGCCTATCGCCGAACGGGCGTAACGCAATCTAGATACCCTAGCGACGGTACGAGGCCCGACCTCGCATACCAACCCCAACGGAAGAGCCTAACGGCCCAAGTCCGGTGACTTGGAGTTGAAGCGCCACCCTAAGGGGGCACGAGGTCTGACCTCGCGTACCAACCCCAACGGAAGAGCTTAACATCCCAAGTCTGGTGGCTTGGGGTCGAAGGGCTACCCTGAGGGGAACCCGAGGTCCGACCTCATTCGCCACTCGACAAGGTCTCGGCTGACTTTCCAAGGAGGTCTTGGCCGACTTCTCGATGAGGTCTCGGCCGACCTCTCGAGGAGGTCTCGACCGACCTCTCGAGGAGGTCCCGACCGACCTCTCGATGAGGTCCCGACCGACCTCTCGAGGAGGTCCCGACCGACCTCTCGAGGGGGTCTCAGCCCCGACCTCTCGAAGAGGCCTCGGCCGGCCTCGCGGTGATGGTATGGTCCCGGCCGATTTTCTGGGTCCAAAGTCAAACTTCGACCAGAAATCGCTAACGCCCTAGGGGCGATACGGGGTTCGACCTCGCCTATCTCCGAACGGATGAGCCGCGTCTCCCCATCGCCCGGCTGAAGGAGAGCCTCAACGCCAACGGGGTCAATGTGAATCCGCTCCAAATGGACATCATCACAAGCATCATGTGGAAGGTCTGAAATCAAGCCCGGATTGGACGGGAGGTCCGTGGCCAAGCTCCGAGGGGAGGTTGGATGAACATCTCCGTTGGCCACCTCCATCGGGTTGGCTGGTGACTCCGGGTTCCCGAGGTCAGCCGGGAGACCCCACGCCATGGGGTCGAGGGTATCGTCTCTCTTGCAAAGAGCGGAGTAAACCCTACGCTGCATCACATACTCCCCCACATCGTACATCTGCAACCCCTGCACAGCCATGAGCTCTTTCCCAATGGGTTCGTGTAGAAGGTCCCCAAAGGTCTCCACCGCATGCTCGGCGAGGTGGGCCTTCGCATCCTTGATGAACACCTCGGAGTCCTTGTAGCTCTACATGACTGCCTTCAAAGCCCACCTCAGAGTCCTTGTAGCTCGACACAGCTGCCTTCAAAGCCTCCTCATGCGCCCGGCGCTCCCGCGCATGGCGGGCAATCAACTCAGCATACTTACCCGCCAACGCCGCAGGCTTGCTCCCCATGGCCTTGTGCGCCGCCTCCAACTCTTTGCGACCCCTCATCTCGGCCCCCAGCTGCGGCCGAAGGGTCCCCAACATGCTCTCCATGGACGCCGCTCGGGCGACAGCTTGCACAACAGCAAGCATAGATGAAGGATAAAGCGTTAAAACACGAGGGGGGTCCGTAATTATCAAGCGGCTTTGGTACTCTCTTGGGCTGACGACTTCTCGCAGCCTCGAGAGTGGGGGACTGATGATGGAATAATTACAGAGCGGACCTGGAGCGAAGAAATATGGAGCGGATCACACCCGGCACCGAGTGGACTACGCACGCGACCGGACAGACCATGGAGAGGTCTACCTCCCCGGGGTCCTCGACTACTACCACGGGGTCCTTGGCTACTATCATGGGGTCCCCGGCTACTATGCACACGGAGTGACGAACCACCCCGGGGTCGGCCAACATGGGCTCAGCACCCCGGGCTGGCCTACGTAGGCCCGGCCACCATGGGGTCGGGCGGTGCACCCCGGGTCGGCCTACGCGGGGTCGGCCACCCTTTGGGGTCGGCCCGGCCGAGCTCCGGGGACGGGTCCCCACGTTGTCCGAGTCGTGCGGCGGTAGTTGCGACTCCTCCCGCGTACCCCGGGCCATTAACACAACCGGGGGTATAAGAACACTCCCAGGTGTCTTGTTCAGACATCTTCTACTTTCTTACAACACTTGTCTTATTATTACACGTCTCGAACCTCTGTAATAGCGTTATACATTCAATTAATATAATATTTCTACCCCTATTGTCGTTTTATTATTCATTTATTATATTCAATCATATATTCGGGCTAGATAATCCAGACCCCCGGGTTCATATAATCCATCACGTAGAAATATGAAATATGTTTTTTCAGTTTGTATCTGAATATAGGTTGAAGTCTCTAAACATGTATCTTCTATATATATAAGCGTGGAATTGAGGACTCTGCCAAGAGTGCACCACTCTCATACCCAGCTTGGTTGAAATCACACGGCAACTCTGTAAACAAGTAATAGGCCACTCCCCTACAAATAAGGCCTGACAACATAGGTTTCTGACGTCGGATGGGCAGGAATATAGATTAATTTGATTGGCCAAGCAGTAATGCAAAAAAAAAAAAAAAAAAAAAAAAAAAAAAAAAACTAAAACCAAAACGTCACCGTTTTTTGTGGGCGGGAATTGGAGCCAAAATCTGTGGCCAAAAGATCTGGCTTTTTTATATATAGGATAAGTAGCTTCCCTAGCATTCATAAATCGTACACATATTTTCAATGTGGGTGAACACGTCTCTCTTAGCAAATACAAATGACTTCAATTTTTTCTAAAACAATATGTAGACTGTAGTTGCAATTTTAAGTTGGTAACAAACATGCAATTGAATAAAACAAAGTCACTTTTCTTTGATTAATATAATAACAATTCATTGTAAAATCTGTGTTTTCAATTCTATCAAGACCTATTTTCTTATTACAAACTGGAGACTCTCAAGTAATTAATAGGCTTTATCAGTAAACATTAAGAGCGTTGTTTTTGGATTAACATCAACATGTGCCTTTGATATACACAATTAATATGAGTAATAAATATTCCTCATAAAATCTGTGTTTTCCACTTATTTAAGACCTATATTCCCATTACAAATCTAACACTCTTGAGTAACTTCTGCACTTTATTGGTAAAACAGTCAGAGAGTTGTTCTCCAAATTCAATATTGGAGATTTTCTCCAGAAAATCAAAGATGAACTGTTGACAAATGTTCTTCTCTTCAAATGCTTTGTCTATTAGTGAAATCTTGTAGAGGTGATTGTCAACTATAGCTTGGTAGACAAAAACAAGACTCATGTATACCTATGGACTTCAATTCAAAAAACATAATGCAATTGCAACTTGCAAGTCCCTAATAACCTAAAAATAAAATAAGAGTGTAAAGAAATATAATTGTCAAATAAATGAATTAAATACATAGTAATTCACTAATTAAACATATAAATTACAAATTTATAAGATATTTACATATATTAATTCACTCTTAGCATACAAATATTACACATTAAACAAAATAAAGAATAAAGAATATTAATCTCCTAAATCCAATTATACAAGTTACAGTCTTACACATTATAGTCAATACACATTCACAATTTGTAAAGCATTCAAAATTTCAAGCAAGACTCGTGTACCCACGGGCGGTTTAGCCGGAGAATACCCATGGGCGGTTTAGCCGGAGAATACCCACAGGCGGTTTAAAGCTCCAATTTTCAAAAAAGCTCAAGAAAATAGAAGTTTGAACTTACTGGGCAGTCTATTACTCTGTCGACTGTCGCTGGAGAGCAAGAGAGTGGAGTGTCCTGGACGCTTGGACTATTGCGGTGCTGCCTGCTGGAAGTGCAATTGAGACAGCTGCTGCCTACTGGAAGTGCAATGGAGACACTAAGAAGTCAGCATTTTGAATTAAGGAAGTAATCATACATTATATAGTTTGAAGTGCACTAGTCCTGTAGTAAATACTCTGCTTATGTAGCAATGGTGCAGGCGGTGCAGCGATTTGGAGAGCAGCAGGCGGCGGGCGGTGACTCCGGTGAGCGGTAGGCAGCGGGCTGCGACAGTGCGTGTGCGGCTGAACTACGGTCTGTGCCTCTACAGGAAGTGAAATTTGAAGCGGTGGTAGAATTGCGTAAATGAAGACATGAAGTTCATGAACCCTAGTTTTAGACTCTAGTATTTTTTTGTTAAACCACGAGGTGTTAGGATGGCAATGTGCTCCGTCCCTGTCGGGGATCCCGGGGACTGGGACGAGAAAAAAATCCAGGAATCAGGGACGTGGACGGGGAATTATTTAAATTCCCCGGCGGGGACGGAGAATTATTTAAATTCCTCGGCGGGGACGGGGATACCCCTCCCCGCCCCACCCCCTGTCCCTGAAATTATATATATATATATATATATATATATATATATATATATATATATATATATATATATATATATATATATATACTTACTAGTTTTTTACGCGCATTGCGCGATTGGGATAATGCCCAATACTTTTTTGTTAAATAAGTACTTTAAAGTATATTAAGGCAGGATTATAATGAAATTGTTCATGCATAGATAATTGAAGGTTGAATTTGCGTATTTAAATAGGTAATTTTTCTCCCAAAGGTTGAGTCCCAACCCCAAGGGCCCCGGGCCCACACTCTGACCCAACAGAGCATTGAATTGGTTCAGCAGACAGGGCCAAATACTGATACGCACAAGGAATCTGCCCACTTTGAACATAATTCCCGCATTGCCGCCGCCGAGGTTCAAACCTTGGTCTCTTCTCCCAAATACTACCCACTAAACCATTGAGCTAAGCGCGTGCGAGTTAAATAGGTAATTCTAAATTTACAAATGCAAGATAATATAGTCAAGATTGATTATAATTGTCAATAAAATAATTGTATAGGTATAGTTGAAACCAAATACGGGGCATAAGGGAGAACAAATAAAAATTAGGGCATAAAATATTAAATATATACTAATATTGTTTGAGGAGATTCCGACATTAGGATTTGTAGTTAAGTTCTATTAAGACTTTAATATTAGAATTAGATTAATGGTGTAGTTATAATTCTATATTAGACTTTAATATTAGAATTAGACTAACGGTGAATTAACGGAAAAGTTAAATGGATAATCATATAATTAAGGATAAATTAGAAAATCTTAAAAGAAAAAAATTAAAACCTGAACAATATGAACCATTCATTTGATTTAATAATTTGGCGGTCATTTTTTCTACCCAATGTTAATAATTGAATAGATTCGCTGGTCAAATCCGATAGTATAATCCGCTAACGCTAACCGCTGATTGTCAAACAAGGACATTGCGAGGCAGTTCTCACTTCAATTTATTGTGTGATTTGAATACTCTCTTTGTCACAAAATCTCTCAAGTAGTTAATATGGTTGGCTTTATTAATTATATTTTTTTTAATTTTTTCATGGTATTAATAAAATACTTGGTAAATAAATATATATCATTATTTTGTATTATAACTTCGATATTTAATTAGAAAAATAGTGCACAAAAAAGACAATAGATAATGTAGTGAATATAAAATTATTTCTCTTATTTAATTGATTGATAATGAATATTTTTTTTTTTAATAAAGGCATTGTGGACACATAATTCTAAATTAAAGAAATGCATATGTATTATTTTTTGTTGTAACTACTAAATTATTATTTATATAATTTAATAAGAGTAAAATAGAATACTAATTATGCCAATTTTGATTGGGATGAGGTTCGAACCTAAGACTTTTTTTTTTATTGAAATCAATGAGTAAGTTAATGGTGAACTAACGGCAATTCTTAAAATTTTAACGGAATTAGTAACGGTGTGTGGGTATTTTAGAAAATTTTAGTGTAAAATTTAAATCTGATCAATCTTTTAATCAATCTGAGCCATTCATTTGATTAAAATCTGTGACCGCCATTTTTTCTACCCATTATAGGCCTAACTCTCTTGGGCTCTTATTAGTATATATATAATATATATATATATATATATATATATATATATATATATATATATATCCTACTATATAATAATGCCATAAGATCTTGGCCAATAACATGGCTCTATTTTCCCGCCCACTTAAAGCCACGTCGTTTTGGCCCATGCAGATTTGCGTTCAATATGCGGTTAAATACAATTAGAATTGAACTAATTGTGTTTGTCTTTTAATTAAATACTACATCTCTTATCAGCCACCTATTTGGTTTCCCAATATTTTTGGAAGTTGTTACACATAATAACTCTTATGCACGCAACACTTTGCATTAAATACTTCTATACATACATACATTACTTGAATCATTTAAATACTTCTATACATACATACATTACTTGAAGGGAAAATTGCACTTTTTCCCCCTGTGTTATATGCTTATAGCACTTTTCCTCCCTGAGTTATTCATGCATTCACATTTGTCCCCTCAATTATTATAGAAGTGGCGGTTTTTCCCCCTGATAATATTAAACGGACATTTCTACCCTTAAAACAAATATTTTATTTATTTCTCTTCTTCACCAAATTATTGCTTATACGTAGGGATGACCACGGTTCGGTTCGAACTGAACCAAACACTATAGCAATCAAATTAAAAAATTTCGGTTATGATTCATAACATAACCCAATATTTGGGTTTCCGTTTATTAAAATCGTGAACTGGAAAAAATGGATCCTGAACCGTGAACCGGAGGTTCAAATCGGAACAACTACTAGCAATAGCTTAAATTATAATTATAATATTTGCAAATAGTGTATGTTTTTTTCTGCATTTATATTGACTCTCACATATATGTATATATAATCGCGATTTGAGTTTTATTTTGAACCTTCGGTTCAAGATTTTGGATCCAATTTGAACGGTTGGTTCAAACTTTCTTTTAAAATTTTATTTTTTTATTTTTAAAATATTCTAAATTTAACACTTAATGTATTTTATTTTTTCAAATTGTGGTTATAATTTGTTGGAGAAGAAAAATAAATGAAATATTTATTTTAAGGGTAAATATGTCCATTTAATATATCAGGGGGAAAAACTGCCACTTAAATAATTTAGGGAGAAAAAGTGCTATAAGTATATAACAAAGGGGGAAAAAGTGCCATTTTCCCTTACTTGAATCATACTATCAAACTCTGAATGGAAAGTTTAAGCAATACATACATACATACATACATACATACATACATACATACATATATATATATATATATATATATATATATATATATATATATATATATATATATAGTTAATTACCAAAATGATCCCTTGACTATTGACTATAGCGAAATTACCAATTTGGTCCTCCGTTAGTCAACCGTTAACTTGGGACCAAATTGGTAATTTTGCTATAGTCAAGGGACCATTTTGGTAATTAACTTTAGGGGTGGGCAATTCGGTTTAGTTTTCTCAAATCGAACCGTACCGAACCAAACCGAGTTAGTTTTGTTTGGTAATGTACCAAACAACTGAACGATATTGGATTCTTGTATACCGAACGGTTCGATAAAAAACCGATCCGAACCGATTCGAATTGTTCAGT